TATATACCATTTATATGTAGGCTATCTACTTTTCTGATTTTATTATATGCTGTGGATATTCTGTGTGTTTTTGTCACTCTTTTGTATTTTATTGTGTTTTAATTCAGCTCTATGACAATTTTAATTTCCTAGATTTAGTGCAGCCACAAATTAAATTAAAGTGATATTTTGTGTGCACAAGAATAAATAAAATAAAATAAAGCTCTTTTTGGGCCACAATGAAAAAATCAGAGTCTAGGACGCTGAAGCCCTGAATATGTTTTGTCTGGTGCATGGGCAGCGCAGTCTAGTTTAGCTTCACGTTCTTAGTTCTGAATGTACACAGCTATGTATGATAAATTGGATGTAATTTAAAACTATACGTCCATTTGTCCCATTTTCCTGGTTAACTCTCTCCCGCGGGTCTTTGTGGGCTGACAGACGAAGACGGAGCTCGTTTCCCTATTTAAGTTCATAAAGAAAGGACAGCCATCGTCATATAATGCAGCTATACGTGATTGTGTTCTGCCACTACGGCGACAGATTTTATTTATACTTAACTTATGTTACACACAATATTCCCTCAGAAAACAGCAGGTTTAACAACAAACACAACAACAACACTAACTCCGGCAAACTCCATTTGCGCCACTCTGTGTTGACAAGTTGCAGCCTTCAGCTTCTAGAACAAAGGCAGCATTGTTGACCTACTGAAATTCCACTTGAGCTTCGCTGGATAAAAAGTGTCTACCACCATGTAGTAAATGAAAAATGTCTAAATGTCTTTAAAATAGGTTACCTTCGGGACTGGAATATATCTGGTGAAGGATTAACTGATGAAGTGGCCTCAGAATCTACAGGTCCCACATTTCACTCATCATTTTAAATATTCCCACTGCAGCTCAGAGCCTACCGGCTACTTAAGGTGGAATGTTTTCTTGTTACTTGCTTGCGTGATGACGTTTGGAAAATCAATCAAAAAACTCTTTGACCATTTCATCGTTGATTTTATCAGCTTATCTTATGACTGACTCTTTGTGATGATCAGATCTTCAAGCTCTTAAATGTAGCTGGATAAATATGGACTGCATCGTGTGACAGCAGATTGTATTTCATCTGGAGAATAAGAGTAGTTGCTTGTGTTCTCCGCGTGGGACTCCGGCAGCTCTGCACCTGTGCTGCTTTTTTCCTGTTGTCTGGTTGAGGAAGCAGCTCCTGTCCTGAGTCCTGAGCACCAGGCAGCTGCTTGTTTTTACTACAGGCCTGTCTCTACATTTATTGCCAACAACAACAGTGTGTGCTGAAGACACATTATGAGCAAACGCACGTTAACATCCACAACTTGTGGACTTTAATGTCATGTAGGAAATAATCATATATTTAATATTAACTAGATCCATCCAGGTTAACATGATGGGGATGGACAACGGTGCATTCAACCAGCGGCTCCTATATGTAGTCAGTGCACTGCGCAGTTACCCAACGGAATCACTTCCTTTGTGTAGCGAGTTTGCCTACAAAATAAGTTGGCCTTTTGCCTGCTTTTATTTAGAAAGGTTCTTGACAGGACGTTCCTTAAGTTCTTTTGCCTGCCTGACAAAACCTGCGGTTTAACACCGCGGAGACTGTTTGGTTTTAGGTTCAATATCCGACGGACGTTCACTTCGGGATGCCAGCGGCGTGTTCGTTACTCCGTTTCCCCCAGTGTTGACTCTAAGACCACGGGTAACTCACGTCCGACAACTCGCTGTTAACAGCGGTGTCAGTCAGGGACCATCAACAAATTAACACTAAACACACATATAACCAGTGTTATTTACAATTCCTTCCGGCTGACTTGCTCAAATTAGTGAAAATCAAAGTCGAAGAATTGTGCTAATTTATTATCATGCCAGTAAACCTGTTTTCATTGCTAATGTGTCATTCATTTAATTTTAAATAATATTTGAGTAGAAGATAATTACATTTATACCTTTCATGTCATGTGACCCAAATGACTCAAAATTCCATATGAGATGTTTTACTACAACTGGACAAATAAGACACACTCTTTTTTATTGTTATTTTAGTGATCCATAATTTTATATGAATATTTATAATGTGAAAATCAGCACAAACGACATTATCTGCTCCTATACGTATTAAGCTACTATTCAAAGTTTAGTATCTAACGTCGTACTGTCTGAAAATGTCAGTATCCTCCATCTCCCTCTTCTCCACTGGCCTTTGTCTGATATCATTAATGTGCAAACCTTTTCTAACCCAGTAGGGGGCGGTAAGAACATATGAAAAGTTATATAATAAGAAACGATTGATCAAAATGTAACATGGAATTGACTTTGTTCACGTGATGCGCGACGTGGTCCACCAGTCACGTGTTAGCCAATAAGTTTGACTTTGACACGTCCGCTTTTCAGAGGTCTGTAAAAGTAACAGAACCTTTTGCAGCTTCCTGTCAAAACTGTCAGAAATAAAGCTCTCAATGGTTAAAATGAAGCTTTATGTGCATAAAAGAAAACGAAACTCTTGTGCTTTTATTTTGTAGGCAAATCGCTAAAGAGGAAGTGATTCTGCGGGTAACGTAACATATTTGGCATTATATTAACTAGATGACCATTATATATAAGGCTTCTGATTGAACGCCGAGAAGGCAGAACCATGCAGACGGGCCCAAACTCGATGATGCCTACCAGCTGGCTAGAGTCTGCTACTAAGTGAAACAGACAGTCCAGCGGCATCGTGCTTACGAAAGTAGACCTTAGTCAGTTATTATGTGGAGACTGCTTTTGATCTAAACAGCATCGCACAGGAATATCTAGATCTCTCACGTACGCTTCGTTGCCGTATCCGATAGCTATCAGTGATGCTGAGGTTATTACCTGACAAGCTACACGTCTCCCTAGACTAAACTCATGGCGATTGTCTCAGAGTCCATGAGAACGCGTAGGGCTCTTCACCAGGCTCGAACATATCAAAACCTGGCACCCGTTTCGAGTAAATACTGCACTTATGTTACGGTTCGACTCTCAGAGGAAGTGCATAGATCAGACTAAAGACCTCGATACATAGTCACGACCAAATAATACTAGACTGAACCAAATCACGCAAGATCATACTGGAGTATGGATAAAACCGTGGTAGTCGTCGCACTCCTATGACAGTGATCGCCTGATACAGAACACGGACTATATAAAAGTAAGCTAAGATGGTAATATAATAGATCAAGTCAACACACCGCAGCCAGTACAAATATACTATGCTATAATGAATAACCAGCTTTGGAATTGTTATTGATTCGGTTCCATGCTACCTCCATTTGTTGCTCTACCCACTCAAGATGGCTGTGTCAGGCGTAAGATACACATAATGCGACCTAGAGCTAGACTGATCTCATAGACAGGTGTGCTCATCTCCTCTTCTTTTCACAGCCATTCAGTACTGCTGCGGATTCATGGTCCTCTGATGCATGTTGTCTTTTAGTTCCACACATAGTACAACACCTCCTCACGTTATCACTAGAGCTGATGAGATCACACTTCGCACGCTCAAGAGCACGAAGCTACACGCTCACATTCACGAAGCAAACAACGCTTATAATACGTTATGCCCGTGGTATGGTTCTAGCTGTTGCATAGCACTGGCGACTTTGTGAATGCTAACAAGATATCCTCGTCTGTGTAGTCCATCCATCAACTTTCGCTTCACCCAGTACAGTTGAGCTCCACGTCCCAGTTACGATGACAGCCACTTCTGATATACTCAGCACGTCTACAACCTGGTACGGTCTATATTTCTGCTATTCATATTCAATTTATGACGAGTAGTTTGGCTTACGTCCGATAGCACCAACGCTCTGTACGCTAAGTGCTTGTGTGCTGAGTATCGTTAAGGTGTGATTTACAAAAAACTTTCTTGACTCTACTTCTGATCCGTGCTAGAGACTTAAACATCTGACATCAAATCATAAAATACAGGGTTTACTTCGTCGCACCTAGCACGCTTGCCATGAAAAAGATTCACTTACACCACCACAGTGGCTCCACGCTCACTACAACAATCCAACCAAGCAGCGAAGGAGCGTGCGCTAGGATCACAGCCCCTTGGCACTGACACATCTCAAAGACTCATAATGTCTATGAGAGAGCTGATCTTCTGCCAGATGCACCCTACAGTTAAAACAATTAGAAAGGCGATAGGTCCTC